TTAGGTCTGGCCTGTTCCAGTTGTCTCCCATTACTTTCCAGTAAATACCAATAGTGTTGCTGTAGCAGTGAATGGAAATTCCTGGAGCTTCTTGGAGGAGATTTTTGGGTAGATGGCCATAAAGCAGCACACCCATGTTTTCCACCTTGCTTCCTGCAGCACTGGCATGTGGAAAGCAGAGGGATGATGCCATAGGCATGTTCAGATTTTGAATGTTCCTCAGTTGCTCTAAGATCTGCTAGGTGTTGTTGCCAGATAGTGTAAGTGAGAGGAGCCTGAAATCAACTCCGACCTAGCAAGGCAGAACAGGTGTTGGTGAGCTTTGGGCTTTCCCTTTTCCCCTACCCTTGGTGGTTCTGGACAGGGGAGTGAAGAGGGTGAGCTGTTCATGTTCCCCAGGGCTTGTCCTGCTGCCCTGGGGTCAGTTTATTGAAGATGATTTACCAGCTGAACTGACTGCATGTAGTCTGCTGTCAAAGGGGTTCTGCTGCAGGTACCACCTTGTTCTAATGCCACTTTTCTCTTCCTCCCACTATTTAAATTAGACTGGGAAAGAAAACCTTTTGGCAAAACCTATTAGCAGTGGGAATTGTGTCTATGCTAGGTGCTTTGGCAGCATTTATTATTTGACTTTCACAGTCAGGCAAGGTAACTTGCAGTGGAGCAGCCAGAACTCTTCATTCTCTTTCTCCTGCAGTGCATTGATAGCTTGGCAGGCAAGGGACAGCAGCTGTTTTGAGTGCTCCCTCTTCATAGAAGGGCCAATAATGAGATTTTATAGGAAGTGAAAAGCAAGGGTGGGCTGAGTGTAATCACACAGCTCATGCTCATTCTTTCACTTAAAAATTTCAGGCCTGGCTAAAGACCAGTTTTTTGCAATTAATAATCAAACATGCATTTTCCTTACCACGACTGCATGTGACAGGCTGAATAACCCCAACTTAAATATTTACTTGTGTATGGTTTTCTAAATGTCTCCAAAGTGACTTTGCAAACTGTTCACAAGGATTGCTTTGTCCTTTGCTGATTGTTCTGCCTCTGAGTATTTATCGAAACAGTGCTGCCAAAAGCTGGCAGAGAGAAATGATCCAGCTTGGAATTTAGCTTGGATCCTACAGCAAACTTTCTTGTAAGAAAACTCCTTTTTGAAAAACATGAACACCAGTGGGCAAAGTCTTGCTTCTGGTTTCCCGAAAAAGATCCTTTGTTTGGACCATTCCCTTTAGTTGCCTTTTAAAGCTGACTAGAAGAAAGGAATGCTTTGAACAAAACCATTGCCTGAGCTCCGTTGTGCACTTAACTGTTGTGATCACAGGGACAGAAATGTTTTCTTGCCACACCAGTTAAATTAAGTGTACATATTTTTTGGAATTTGTGTTTATATTTGTTGCATCAGAGGATGAAGATCTGAATTAGAGGAATGTGAATGTGTACAGCACCTGTAGAAAAGAAACATGTTTCTAGGGCTATTACTTTGCACTGCAGTAAAGAAGCTGAAAAATGTTCTCTAACAGCCAGACCAGAGTACTCATTCTAGATGGATTCTCAGAAAAAACAAAACAATTTCTTGCCCACAGGGAGTTTGTTAGCTCATTAAAATGAATGTGGTTTGAATGGGATCCTGAAAGTCTTAACTTGTCCGAATGCTTACATAGTTGTAACTTGAGATTAGTCCAAGTTGGTGATTTTTAACTTAGAAGTGGCTGTGGACAGAAGACCCAGCTGGAGACTGTAGGAACACTGACTGTCTTGAGAAGAAAAAGCTGGTGATGGGTATGTGGTTGCTGATGTGAACTCATTCTCAGGTTCCTGGGAACCAGTCTGAGTGCAATGACCTTCAGAAAGAATGTGCCCAGATCTCTTTGGGGAGCCAATTGCCTCTCCTTGGCTGAGGGTTGAATTGTTTCTTAGAGCAAAGTCCATTCCTATAAAGTTGAAATACCTGCTAAGCAGCTCTTTTGTTGATATTTTTTGCATTCTTACAGTTAGGAATTGTCTTAAGATGCTGCACATTTTCAGTTCAGCCAAGCTTGTGTAGCAATAGGGTTGTGATTTTCTTGAGAGACCATCCCTAGACATGATCATTAGGGTTTTTTAATTCAAATTCTGGTGTGTTTGGTGGCTGCAACCAAGTTCAGGCTTGCATAAAACTGGCATTTTTTATTAATGCAACCTGTAACTACTTCAGCATTTACAACTTGTATTTTGCTACTGCTATTACTTTGAAAATCACAAACAATCTGACAGAAATTTTTCATGCAACTGTATATCTCCAATACTTTGGCCTGAGGATTAAGACAAATTTGCTCCATGTATGTGTCTCAGTGTTTCATCTGGTTCAAAGCAAAATCTGTCAGAGTAATGAGAACCAGTAATGGTCCAGAGTTACATATACCAAGGCAGTGATTTTATTTTGCTGTCTGGTTGAGGCTTTAGAACGGGCATCTGACCCTCATCATGTTTTTAATTTTTTTGAAGCTACCTGGGTTTGAAATATCCAGTCAGCCCATTAGTATCTGAGCTGCAAGTCCACTCTGCTACAGATGTCCTTGCCTGGCCATGCTTTTCCATGTCAGGAGCTTTGCTGGGCAGTTAGCCAAAGAACCAAGTGCTCAAAAGCCATCCAAGAAAAATACAGCTTTGGAAATATCACTCCTTCTCTGGGTAGTTGCAGATTGGAATATGTAACTATTTCTAGTGCTCATTTTTAAAGCACCAAGTGTGGGGCTAGCTTGTAAGTGCTTTGGCTAGGGGAACAGTATGTGATGATTATTATTATTATTTTGATTAAATACAGATATTGAAGTGTTGTAGCTTAGGCTGGAGTTGTAAACTAGACCTATCTTTAGTCAAGTGAAGGAGGAGTGATCTCGCCTAGATTGATCTGGCTACAGCTGAGAAAGTTGAACTTGCTGGGGGGAGAAGTAGGGAGTTTTAAGGTGTGATCTGTTTCAGGTGTGCTTCAGGATGAGACGAATTGTACCATAGACCACAGTGACTATGACTACAGGGGTCTATCTTAGCTGTAGAGATCTACACCAATTTAGATGAGATTATGCCTATTATATTGCTAAAGGCAGATCTGATTTGCAACTTCAGCCTGAGCTGATAGCTTGTAATGGCTTTCTCCACTAATAGCCATTTCGTGCTCTGCTTTATAAAAGTACCAAGGAAATGAGAAGCTGTGACAGTCAGAGCCTCCACTGGGTTTTGCTGTTGGCTCAGTCTGTGGCATCTGGTAGGTGTTTAACCTGTTAGTATTTCTGTTTCCATGCAAGGCTGAGAATCCTTTGCTGCTGTGCTCACCTGCTTAAACTGGTGAGGAGAAGGAAGATGTGTTAAAGTGTATTACGGGTCAGCCTGGGTAGCACAGAGGCTTTGAGTTTAATGAAGATGGTTGGTGTGCTGGCCATCCCTGCAGATCTCTGACTGGGCTTCAGAAACCAACCGTATCTGTGGCTGCAGCCAAGGAATTGTGGCCGCCAGATCGAGGGAGGGGATTCTCCTTCTCTATTTCACTCTCATGAGATCCCACCCGTAGTACTGCATCCAGCTCTGGAGTCTTCAGCACAGGAAAGACAAGGAGCTGTTAGAGTGGGTCCAGAGGAGGCCATGAAGATGGTCAGAGGGCTAGAGCACCTCTGCTATGTGAAGGCAAGTGCAGAGAGTTTGGGTCGTTCAGCCTGGAGAAGGCTCTGAGGAGACCTTAGAGCCCCTTCCAGTGCCTGAAAGGGGCTACAAGAGAGCTGGAGAGGGACTTTTTACAAAGGACATGGAGTGATGGGACAAGGGGGAATGGCTTTAAACTAATAGAGAGTAGGTTTAATTAGATATTAGGAAGAAATTCTTTACTGTGAGGGTAGTGAGGCACTGAAACACACTGCCCAGAGAAGCTGTGGCTGCCCCAGCCCTGGGACTGTTCAAGGCCAGGTTGGATGGGGCTTGGAGCAACCTGATCTCTAGTGGGAGGTGTCCCTGCCCATGGCAGGGGGGTTGGAACTAGGTGTTCTTTAAAGTCCCTTCCAACCCAAGCCATTCTGTGATTCTATGGCTCTTACAATCCTGATGCTATAAATTACCTGATTAAGCCCACATCATTTAATACCTTTTTATATCTAGCATATTAGCAAATGTAGGCAAGTTGCAGCTCTTCTATTTCACTCTGGCAATTATACACCCACTTAAATGTAGAGACGAAGCAGCATAACCTAATGTACCATTAATGCAGAGTGGCATTTACCTTCAGGAGGTTATAACTTAGTTTTTTTCCCCTGTTCTTTGGGTGAGTTGATGCTGCTAGCAAGATGGCTGAAAAAGAAATGCCATGACTTGGCCAAGAACCACACAGCAGGATCTCAACTCGAAGCATTCTCTTCCATTGAGTAGGTGCAGCATGACAGTGCCCTTCAGGCCTGTTCAGGATGGCCTGGAAATGAGAAGTCAGGTTACTTTCCTCAGGCTGTGTGGCTCTTGGTTTTTGTCAGTGCTGCTGGTCATTTCTTCTCTTTCCTCACTGAGATGCAGTATTAATGCTGTTGCTAAAACAGCTTAAAAGTGATAGGAAGTGACATTTCAAAATGCTGCTGGCTTTTAACCGTGGTTTGTGTTTTACAGTCTCCTGGTGTTTAGCTATGAAACCTGTCCCGTGGGCCCAGTCCTGTGGGTAGGAAGTGTGGAATGCCCTGCTCCAGCTGGGCTGGTGGGAGCCTCTTGGTCTGCCTGCATACATTTCTCACCATATGCTTTGTATCTTAAAGCACCTTTTGTTTCATGTTGCAACACAGCGCAAATGTTGTTTTGCAAAAAGCTCACTTGTGATGCCTCTTGGAATGGGGTGATGCCTGTTTTGGAAAGGGTGATTTCTTTTTGGAATGGGAGTGAGATGGAAGAGCCTGAAAAATACTCCAACCTTACAGATACTGAGAGTGCAAAGAATGGGGACTGAAGGTTATAATTATCTAAGGTGACAGAATAACCAGATCCTTAAAGGTGTCCTAAGAGCAAGACCCATGCCAAGCTGATCTGTCATTTGTTGTGCAGTTGGTTTCCTGGAGATATCTGAGAAGCCTCAGGGGTTAGTGCACTGCTGGTCATTTGAACCTTTTGATCTGTTTGTTTGTGGGGCAGACAAGGTATCATTACTCCTTATGCAAATTCCATCTCTTGGCCAGAGGTTAGGGTTCTCCCTCCTGTCTCTTTGATGCAGAGGTTGTTGCAAGTCCTTGACACTTACCTGGAGCTGCAGCCGTGTCCTGCTGATGAGCATGTGGTGACTCCTGCCTGCATTGCACTGCCTTCAGGTGGCAGGTGTTGGGCCAGAGCTCTGCTCGGAGGAGTGTGCAGTGTAACAATGGCCATGAAAAGCTTTTGTTTGATTTCATCAGACAGAGAATGCCAGATTTTTCTCTGCGCTGTGGAGTTTTTCCTTGCTGAGCTTCCAGACTTTATATGGTTTGTTTACTGTGTATTGGCTAGTTTATAGTCTTGCACAGGTCAGTCATTTTCTCTCTGTCTCAGTATCCCAACTGCAATCCTTCCTTTCGTCATGCTCTGCCGTGTCTGTGTGGAATGAAACCCACTCTCCCCACCAATGAGTTCTCACAATGCACAGGATGACTGGTGCAACGAGGCATGATTCTTTGGGGTTGTTAGGCAGAGTTGCTCTAAACACACGGTGGAAGACAACCTGACTGAAGATGTTTAAAAATGGTGTCTCCAACATAAGAAGGGCATGAAACTGTTGGAGCAAGTCCAGAGGAGAGCCATGAAGTTGATAAGAGGATTGGAGCCCCTCTCCTAGTAAGACAGGCTGAGAAAGTTGGGGCTGTTCAGCCTGGAGAAGGTTGCATGGAGACCTCATACTTCCAGTATCTGAAGGGCCCACAGAGAAGCTGGAGAGGGACTCTTTGTTAGGAACTGTAATAATAGGACAAGGAGTAATGGGTATAAATTGAAAGAGGGGAAAATTAGGCTGGATGTTAGGAAGAAATTCTTTACTGTGAGGGTGGTGAGACACTGGAACAGGTTGCCCAGGTAGGTTGTGGATGCCCCAACCCTAGCAGTGTTTAAAGCCAGGTTGGATAAAGCCTTGAGCAGCCTGCTCTGGTGGGTGATGTCCCTGCCCATGGCAGGGGGGGTTGGCACTACCTGATCTCTAAGGTCCATTCCAATCCCTTAACATTATATGAATAAAATCCTGTGTAAGGGTGGATAATTATTTAATCATTCAGCAACAGTGTCTAAAAAGACTAGCGGGAATGCAGATACAGAACCATTTCAAGGAAGAGTTAAGAGTTTCCAAATCCTGACCTTGTGCAGAGTGACCATACTAAATATAAACCCTGCTTTATGGTGTGTCGGATTTTATTTTTAATGTACTTTTTTTTTGTTACTCAGAATTGTTCTGAAATTTTTGTTGCAATTAAAACTTACAGTCTGATAAGAGTTCATATCAAACATGATTTGCAGAAACTATACTGCTGGGGTTTTTTTGAGGCTGTAATAATGTAACTAATTATGGAAGGAGGGTTGTTAAGCTCACTGGGTTCCTGCCTGCTTGCACCAGGAGATGGGCTCAGTTTTTATATTGTGAAAGCTGGGAGCTGTTTTTAAGGCTGAAGTCAATTGAAGATGTGATCGTGAAGAACACAAGGTTGGTTTGCTCACCATCCCTCTGTTTCAAGGTGCAGCTGTTGCTCTTTGTAACAGGCTGTGGAGTTGGAACCCGTGACTTAGGATGAGTCACTGCAGTGCAGCTCTCTCATGAATGTGCCTGAGAGATGATTGTTGATGTCTTTTTCTCTTCCCTTCAGCTAGTGAATCGGCACTTGTATTCGGGCAGCGCGGACAGGACAGTGAAGTGCTGGTTAGTAGACACTGGGGAGCGAATCCAAACGTACAAGGCTCACAAACACAGCGTTAGCACTTTGAAATACCACGCTGGGATCTGTAAGTTGCCTTTCCTATATTCAGCAATCCTTTTCCTCGTTTGTCTTTGATCGAAGGTTGTCAATAGAGAATAATTCGAAGCCTTGTGAATTTGTCACTTTTTTCAACTCCAGCATGTTTATGTTCAGTATTAAACTTTGCTGCACTACTCCATGTGGGAAGCTTAGATCTTCCGTCCATTTTCCACCTCCCTCTTCTCACAAATGGAGAGGCAGTTGCTTTATTTCTGTTATCAAGGGAAGTGGCTAAATCCTGATCTGCCTGTGGGTTGTTTGTGTAGCCGTGGTATTACCTCACTAGTCTGGTGTCTGTCACCTGCTTCTGCTGCACACTGGGGGACAGCAAGTGCTGCTGCTGGATGTGCAGCACTGTGCCTGCCTCTGCTGCCTTGTAGGTACATGTAATGGACTGTCCTAAACCAGAATCACATCTCAGGTGCTCACTGCTTCTTTCTAAGTTAGGCCTTCTGTTCAGACCCTGATCGACTCCTAGACTCATTTTCTACAAGTTCTTTTCCCATTATCTGGCCTCGTTCAGGTATTTGTTTCCCAAACCACCTTTGTGCAATAGCCAAGCAGTGCTTGCCTTACTAATGCTCAGGATTCAGTTCCCCTACTTTCAGTCCTCCTGTTTATAGTAGTTTCTGTACAGAAGTGTCTATTGCTGACATAACAGTATATTCTGAATGTCAAATCTCCCTCATTAAATCCCTCTCTGTGATGGCTTTCCTTCTGCATGTCACCTGTTTCTGGGTTTGGGTTGCAAGACAGCAGCTCTGTTTTTATCAGTGAACCTCTCTCTATGCCATCCTGGTCTTATCCTGCCACTGATGTCAGACCTGATGTGCTTTCATTTGCTTCCCAAACAAGAACTGTCTTTCAGGGTAACCAGGATGGCCGTGGCTGTCTTAAGCTAATCTAGACATTTGCAACACTCTGCTGATTTTGATTTCTGTACTTCAGCTATGAAGTGAACATGTAACACCAAATGAATGGTTGCTATCTGGGCCTTGATCTCTCTTTTGGCAGATTGTTGGTGTGATGGTGATAAATGGCTGACAGCTGCAAGATGGCACACGTTAGCAGAGAGTGATACCTGCACAGGCAGGTTACAGTTTAGTGGCAGTTGTCTGGCACCAACCTTGCCATGGCTGACTGAATACATTTATAACCCAGTAACTGAATCGATTTCTTAATTGTGTTAGGAAATTTCATGTGTTACCAAGCCCAGGGGCAGGTTTTGATCTTAGCCAGGAAGCCTTTTTTTGGTCTTCTTTCAGCATGAGAGCCCCAGCAATACTTTTCTCCATTAAAATATGTTAACAGTGTTTGCAGTTATTACAGCTCTCTTCATGCTTGTTGCAGAACTGCCCCACTCTCCCCTACCTGCAGGTTATAATTTCTGCTGATTTCAGCTTCTGCAGTTGGCTAGAAGGCTGAAATGGAAGGGGAAAGGGTCTGAGCCTGTGTTGCACCCTGAAGTTATTATTGTTTCAAGATGCAGACAGGTAGAGCAAGGAACCAAAAAGTGTAATCCAGGATGAACACTGGCAGACAAAGTACTGATGATTGTGTATTTGTGTTTTCCCTCTTTTAATTGTAAGAACACAACCAAAACACTGAATTCATCAAGACTAGCCAAGGTGAGAAGACAGTGCTAGGCTGATGTTGGCCTGATCCAGCGAGGATCTGTCTGGGTGGGAGATGGACAGTATCTTCTTCTTAATGAGACCTCCAGAAATGCATTTTTTCATTGTTGTTCCTACTTTTCATGCACCAAGTGTAGAGTTAACCAGACTAAACCCACCATAAAGAAAGTTTAGGCTCAAACAAAATTTTCATTATCTCATGCCACCCCCTTCAGTTCTGCAGCTTTCTCTCTCTTCCCCCTCATTCTACCACCGTGTCCCTGCCACACACATTCATTAACTTTCCATAACACTCCTCTTTTTTCCCCCCCCTTAAAATACAGGCAATATTGCTGCATTTAGTCCAACCTGCGAAGAACATCCTGATAGTGTGACAGAAGTGTTCATGGAGTTATTTTAGATCTTATTTTAAATTAAATGCAAAAATACTAAGAGTATCAAATGGGGAGAATTGAATTGTTCCACCTGAAGGGTAGAAAAAATGTCCTGGAAAAATATTAGAGACTTGTTCAAATAGAATTTAGATGCATTTTAATGCTTGAAAGGGGAAATTTTCCCTTAAAAATGAATTTACATATTATGATTGCTTGCATTACTGTAATAATTGGTCACTCATTTATACAGCATCTAATGGATTTTTTTTCAATTAGAATTACAAAGCCATGTTCACTGAATACAGATGCTGGAGCTAGTGTAGCTTAAAGTTCTAGCTGTTCACCTGGGACAGATCAGAACTGTCTTTCAAATATGTGGAGAAAATTCTTCAATAAAAATGATGTTTTGTTATGGTTTATGTCACACTTGCACCAATGCAAAATCATGGAAAAAATCTCAGCCAAGAAGTGGTAACTTTCTGTTAGAAGATCTTAATTCCAATACTTTCTCTCTGATCCAAAGGCTCATTGCTCATTTTGGATCCAAGTATCTAAAGGCTCATTGCTCCAAACAGTTTATGGTCTAAATAAGAAAACAGAGTAGAAGAATGAGAGGGAAAAATGTGTGTTTCCAAAATGGCTTTATAGTGTACAGGGAGTACAGACAGATCTGAGAACTATGTTTAAATCATCAGAATATGTTTCCAGTGGCTTTCCTCAGTCTGCTTGTGTAACTAATAGCATGGGGAATATTACAGCTGGTTCTCAATCTAATTTACTTAACAATATGTTGATTATTCATCTCTTGCAATATGTGCAGTCATTTAAATTTTAATGTGGTTTATATCTTTTTGCAAAAAATCCAAGGGAATGTTTAAAAACTGTTCTCCCTCTCAAGAGCCTGTGAAATTTAGGTAAAAACCTAAAATTAACTGTTGGGTTTTGTTGTTGTTTATTTCACAGGTGGTATATATAAGCATATATTTAAATGCTAAATCTGGGTTAGATCAACAGCTCTTCTTTGAAAGTCAGAGGTGCAAAGAAACTTCCTAAATCCAGAGTGACAGTTCAAAAGACACTAAGGGTGTCTGTCAAATGCAGAATCCTCATAGCAATAGCTCAAGTAAACTGACAGCTGCTTAGTGGAAACAGCTCTTAATTGGTTCCTACTCTCTGACTGTGTGTAATAGAGCTAAGTGTTTTCCATTCACTGGAAAAAATCAGTACCTTGTTCCCTGCTTTACATCATTGTTACTCGTTTGCAGAATGGGGTACAATGCTTTGTTCAGGATTGTGCTGCCAATTGAATTTATAGTGGCCCCTCTAAAATGACATTGATTTTCCACATCCAGATGTTTGTTGGAGGTGAGCCCAGGAGGTGCCCATCTTCCTGCTGTTTCGTTTGAAGTAGGAAAGCTGATGGCAGTACAGAGCCTGTTCTCTCATCTCTTCGTGTTGTCCTGAATTTCCTGCTGTGATAATTTCCTCACCTCTTTAGAGATTCAGTCCCTGACATCTCCCAAAAGATAAGGAATCTGTTGTCTTCAGGCACTTCGGTTTTGTGAAAATCTTTCACTGCTAGTCTTTTGGTAAAGACATGAAATGCAAGAAGCAGTGAATATATTGCTTTTTGCAGCTCTGAAATATTTATCTCTGGATAAACTTGAGGAGTTTGGGTTACCTGAAGGAAAGCAAATGTTAATAAAGAGAGTTTGTAACCTTTAAAGCACAGAAATAGGCTCCTTTCTGGGCATATTGCTATGTACAAAGTCTAAATATTCAACACTGCCTTACAGTTTCTGCACGCAGCAATTCTGGGGATCTGGTGTGAAGATCTTGAAGTGCTGAGAAATTGTTCTTTGAACATGTTAAGATACCCTAAGGAAAACTGATGAACTGCCAAAATTCCTGGTCATGCTCAATTTACTTACCCCCTCCCCTCTTGCAGCACATGTACAATGCAGCACATAGAAATCAAGAGTTACAGCCAAACCCCTCAAATGATTCTGTGCTGTACTGAAATAAAGATTATAGAGCCTTGAATCACATAAAGGCTCTACTGCTTGCAAAAATCCTGAGCTACAGGATTGAGCTGAAGAAATCTATCACCCCTGAAAGAATTTCTAAAGCTGCCTACACATGGCTCTCACCTCTGAGGACAGAAGGTTTAACTGTGGTATTTCAGCAAGAGACAGCCCTACCTACTGTTGTTGAAAATGGAAGCAAAAACATGGTATGTTTTAATGATGCTAAGGCCAAATTCATACCATTAGTATGAGAGAGGGTAATGCTGTGCCTGTGGTTTGGAGCTTCCCTGTACAGATGCATCCGATGCTTGGTGCAGCAGCAGAAGTGATGGAGATAGTGTAGTAGTGAATGGAAACCTGGGAGCAACTGTGGCAGAACAAATGGAAGGCTTATAGGAAATCCTTAAAACCAGACTTGAGATAAATTGCCTGCTTAGAATTACTGAGGCAAGTTTAGGCAGGGAGATATCCACGGAAGAGAAGAGCAGAAATAGGTATTTGAAGCGTGTGTGGAGTGAAATGCTGGTGTGTGTAGGAACTTCAGGCTTAAGACAGTTCAGTGTTTAGAAAAATACAACTGAAAACGATCATGCTGGGGTCAGCAAAATGGAAATGATCTGAACTGCTTTATCTGAGGAGAGAATCAAGCCTAAAAATGGTATGTCATGCTCCTTTGTGGGTACATGAAGTGACCTCACATGGCTGCTCACATCTGGCTGTGCTGTGCTGTGCTGTGTGGTTGTGTTGCAGTGTTCACAGGAAGTGGTGATGCCTGTGCAAGAGCTTTCAATTCCAGGAGTGGAGTCCTGCAGAAGATCTTCCGAGGACACAAGTTCATCATCAACTGTATCCAGGTCAGGAAGGTGTTTCTTTGCTGGGATTTCTCCCTTGTGATTGCCCCTCATTTTTTGGGGGGGAATTGGTGTGGTTAGCTGCTCTGTGTGTCTTGGATTGGATGTTGCTCCAGGATAAGGCTTGAATATTTCATATGTAATTTTAGGAAAGCTTGTTAATAATAAGTGAAAGCACAGAATGAGTCCCAAGGACAGCCCCGTGCCTGTGACTGACCCACATCCTATCAGGCAGAGGGAGGAGTCTCTGCCACTGGGTTAAAAATTTTCTAAAAGTTAATGAAGCTCCTGAAAAGTTGTTTGCATTTTGTCTTGGCACAAGTGAGACTGGCATTTAAAAGTTAAGAGGAGGAACTAGTAATCCTTGGTGGCTGTGCAAAGACCATAGAACCACAGGATGATTTGGGTTGGAAGGGACCTTGAAGATCACCTAGTTCCAATCCCCTGCTGTGGGCAGGGACACCTTCCACTAGACCAGGTTGTTCAGAGCTCCAGCCAACCTGACCTTGAACACTTTCAAGGATGGGAGATCCACAAAAAAATTCCACATCTCCCTGCTTCAGGATCTCAGAAAAAGCTGCATGCAGGATGAGGATTTTGATTAACAATGTGAGACACTGTCAGTATTTCTGTCAGCCTGACAGTCAAAAGAAAAAAGGAGATAAAATTCCTTTTGGAGTTGATCCCAAGCACAGAAAGTTGTGCAAGTGGCTGATTGGTCTTAAACTGCAAACTCCTGAGTACTGAGCAGTAGGTTCTGTAGCAGTCACCTGGACGTGTTTGGGTGGTAACTCTGGGCAGATCAAAGTATTGACAAAGACCAAAGGTTGGATTTTTTGTAGTTTTGGTTTTTTAGATTTATTTGCTAAGTGTACAGACAAAAACTCCTGGGAAGAGACAGGACCAAGAAGTGGTGAGGAGGCTGTGGTTGTGTGGTGCTTCACATAAGCCAGAGTGCCAGTGGGATGGTGGCTGTCACTGCCCACCTCTGGTGTCTGAGAGCACCTGTGGGAGACAGACTGACAGTTCATTACTGCAGTTTTGGAAGAACAACAGTGTCTGAAGGAGGAACCATACCTATAACTTACTGCAAAGGAAGAAGGGAAGCGAGAAGTGCAGCATCCCTGAACACCCTGCTGTCCACTGGTGCTGATTTTGATGCCTCCTTAAGCTCAACATCAAAACCAGCAGTTTGAAACAAGCACAGAAATCCCCAGCTACAGCCTACATTGGGTTTAGTTCCCTATTGCTTTTCTAGTGGGTCTGGGTTATAAATAACTCCTGCTGTTTATGTTTTATGGCTCTGTGAAGTGGCTGAGAAATGAGTCCTGACTTGGTAATGTCTCATCCCACTTCAGCAGCTTTTGTGATAATTTATCCTGGCTCTTGCGCTGAGCTCAGGCCTGAAGTGTTGGGATCAAGCTGTTTGCTCTGATTTTTGACAGTTTGATTGTGCTGAATCCGAGCTGCATGATTTGGAATTAAGTGTGATCCTGTTGTTCCAGGTCCACAATGAGTTGCTCTACACAGCTTCCCACGACGGCACACTAAGGATTTGGGACATCCGGGGAATATGCAAGAGAAATAAGCGGCGTTTGAAGAAGGAGAGGTCTGTCCAGGGCAGGAGCTCACAGAAGGGAAGTCTGTCTCGTCTCTTCAATAATAAAGTTGGCTGTATGGTACAGCAGGAGAATGGGGAACACGAAGCTGTTGAACTAATGTGACTGTCCAGAACAGGCTTTCTGTCAGTGACCAAATCTGAACCTTTTGTCTTCTGCACCACTGTGCCCATGTAAACCAGAACTTGGAAAGAAATGGGAAGATGCTTTGTTTGAACCTCTTTGTCAGAAGTCAGGATTCTCTGTGACTACCAGATGGACTTAAGTCAGATCCTGTAGCTGCAGATTGAGTGAGATGAGCAGCTCTGGGGGCAGGAGGGAGGGCAGTGTGGTTCAGGGGAGTGTGTGTGCAATCAGGAACTTTCCTTATGACTGCTTGTTTCAGTTCCCTTGCACACTTCTGCCTGTCCAGTGTGTAATGAGGAATGTTTTGCCCTGTGTCTGTCGCCCTCTCACACGACTCCTGCTCAGCCAGATGTGGCAGTGAAAGGTGCCTTGCAACAGGGCTACAAATTCCATCCTCCCAGCTGGCCTAAGGGTCAGCCATTGGCTGCAGAGGCCAATGCAGGATGGTTTTGCTCAGTAGCAGGAGGTTAAAGCAGACTGGACACCTCTCTGGGAAGCTGGGAGTAGCAAGACAGAAATTAAATTTTTTTTAACAGAATACAAGCCAGAGGACAAGCTAAACCTCAGCTCTCTCGAACCAAGGTCAGCTGTTTGCCAAGGCACAGCAGTTCTCCTCCTCCCAGCAACCTAAAGGGTCTTTTTTTACCTTTTATGATCTCACCCCTCAGCAGAGGAAGCATCAATGGCTTCACATGTGTCTTCTGTCAGCTGCCAGGGGTGTGTGCTCCCAGTCACCTGTGTCTCCTGGGCATGGATCCCCAGGGGGCAGCTCCTGCTGGACTCCTCCAAAGGGTCTTACCTTGGCATGGCCGAAGTTGGAAGGTGGTGTGACTACACCACCTCTGTGGGCAGCCTGGTCTGCTGCTGGGCTGACCTCACAGGGGGAAAGGTTTTCCTTATACCCACTGGGAATGTCAAATTGTGTTTTTCAAAGAGGAAAGCAAAACAGGATGTACTGGGTGTGCTCTAAATGTGTTGCCTTTTCTTCTTCCAAGGCTGTGTCTTGCTAGGCCAACAGTAGCCTTGGATAGGCAAATTCAAGAGAAGTTGTCCCAGTCTTTTTCCAGGTTCATCCCTCTCTGATAACCACTGAGCCATGAATTAACAAGCATTCTTATATTTTTCTATTTGCAGATATAAGTCTTTGTAGAACCAGTACAAAAATATCTAACCACATGTTTTTATTTTTATGGCTTTATTTATTCTGTACTACAGCAAGATAAAAATGCTGTAATCCTTTTTTAGAACGGATTAATAAACATGTGGCATCTACAGACAACTGACTAGTTTTTATTTTTGTCTCATTTAGAGGGGGGTTGGCTGCTTCCAGCTGCACAACAGCTAAGAATTGATAGAAAAATGGGGAAAAAACCCCCGCATAAATGTTTCCAAAAGTATCTTGCCTTCTCCTCACTGCTGGGGCTGGAGTCAGGGAGTCAGATGGGTGTGGAGCCTCTCACCAGTCTGCCAGAGCTCAGTTCCCCTACCCCAGGGAGTGAGCAGCCACAAAACAAAGCACAGACTTCAGGGAAAGCAGGGACAACAAAGAGCCACGTGTGTGCTGTTTCAGCCCTGGGGGCACTGAAGACTCCTACTCTGACACTGTGCAGTGTACCCTGCTCCCACCTTTACTGCTGAGCAGCTTTGGCACTTCTTTCCTGGCAGGTTTCCACATCTAGTAGGAAACAGCATTTTAATTATGCGAAATGTCTACCACGAGAGACTAATTTGGGAGGTCATCTGCATCATGCACACTTAATTCCACTGGAAAGCTCTCAGTGCAGTCGTGGTGGGTCAGTGTTGGCCCTGTGAGACATGTTTATGAGATGGTGGCTGCTGGGTGATGGCTTGCCACGCACCTGACTTTCTTTGTATTTTGCTTCTGACAACACTAAGTAGGAGGCCTTGAGGAGATGGATAGAGTTCCCCAGATCACCTGGGCTGTAGTTCTTGTTTAAAACTTTGCACACAGTGTGTTAGACACCAGAGCTTATCTGGCCATATAGCAGCTGCACATGCAATCAACAGACAGATCTCAAAGAGTGGAAGTAATGAGTCATTACCACTTCTGCCTGTTCTAAACATATCACAGTGCGTCCAAATACATGGCCAGAATTAACTGGCAACTCTTAGCCAATGCCTCTTGCCCTGCTGATCACTTAAAACTGCACATGCAGTTACTCGGGGGCAGCACTGGCAGAATTACATCATTGATGAATGGCTTCTCTGACAAGCACTGCATGTTATGATGCTAATTTTAAATTCCCCAAGGACAAACCTCCCCTTCTGAGGTTGTTGCTGCCAGTTTGCTGTGCAAGCCACTTCAAAGAGCAGAATTACTGCCTGTACAGCCCAATCCTGCCTTTGGTGCATGCCCAAGAGCTAGAAGGCAATACCAGGATGCCAGCAGGTTTGGGAAGGAAGGGATCAATTTGTGTGTTCTCACCTATTTCTTGTTACAAGCACATCATCCACCACTTTGCATGTTTTCAATTTTAAATTCTTCTCTATATTTGTTTTTGCTCTGAATTTTGTCCAATGGTCCCTCAATGCCAGCTGGTAGAGAAAGAGGATGCTGGGGCTGGTCTTTCCTCAGAAGCTTGTGTTACTGGCTTTAGAAATGCTTCAGCCTTCAGGGAGGACATACAAAGCTACTCAATTTTTATAGCACTTGCCTTGACAGAGAAGTATGAAATACAAATAATTCCTCAACAGTGTAATCACTCCCTGCTTTTTGCTGTACTTGGCTGAGGGAGTCAGGAAATAAAACAATCCACTACTGCAGCCTGTTCAGTCCATCCGCTGGAGCTGAGCCATCACTCCACGGGCTAAAGCTGTGCTCCTCCCTCCAGAATCGCAACAGTTCGAGCCCTCCTTTCCCCACAAATGCTGGGTAAGGATGCACTGTCACCAGATGAAGGCTCAGCACAGCCGGTTCCCTGTTCCACCCGCTCCAGACGGGACCTGGGCTCCCTCTACCGAGAGTGTGTAGTCATGGAAAGCAAACGAACCAGATCCAAGGAAAGCTGCCAGGCAGGGGAACTTCTGTTCCCGGTGGAGCAGAGTGCTTACACGGCAGAAAACGGGTTGTTATAAAACCACAGAACACCCCAACATTTCTCCAGAACGCTGAAGGTGGTTACAACTACTGACACAGCACCTGAACCAAGTTCTGTTCAACAGATGATTACAGAAAATCTTGTCATTCCCAGGAAATCCATCAGCCTTTAGCCACACACCTGCAGAGGTGAAAGAGGAGCTGCTTGGGGAAACTGGTTATACCAGTACATCATTACACCATTCCCGGGACAGAGCCCTGCCAGGTGATTCTCACTGTTGTTAATAAAGCACAGAGGTCTCTTACCAAAAGCAGAAGCATCACAGAGTTACCTTTATTGCCTGTGTAACACCTGCAGGAAGGGTCAAGCAGAACACGGTATAAACCCATGCACAACAGATACATAAATGCCTCTTAGAAATCTTTCAGAAGAAAAGGAGAGCAGCTGGGAAGCTGATACCTCTACAGCCTCATGATCTAAGGTTTCTCATTTACAAACTCATTTTTTCCTTTTAAAGCTGGTATAGAAATGCTTCTTTACTAAGTGAATTAACTTATTTCACAATAAAAAATATAGTTTAGTTCTATTAAATTTTCTTCTGAAAATAAATGTTTCTATTTTTCTGCTATGACAATAAGTTACACTGTATCACAAATGTAGGCTTTAAGCAGAGTTATAAATAAGCAGGAATTAAGTATTCCACCTATAGTTTAACCGAATCCAAGACCCTTAGTAAGAGATAAGCTGAAGGTGCATTTATAATCCAAACTCAATTTGACAAGGTAAATACATATAACTGAAGTAGATTTAACAGGATTTAGTGCTGTGGTACTTGTATATAGGATAAGTACTCATGAATGATCTGTTCTTCTTCCTCCAGTGTTAAATCCAGATAATCCTCTTCATGCTCAGGAATATCCTCTAGGATTTCATTGACTGCATCAGTCTCCATGTCTTCATCTGTTGGTGAACTAGAAGAACCTTCCAATAAAAAGCAGCAGCAGTGAATTCACCTCTGAAAGAAGTTGGTATTTTCCCTCTTTCACCAGCACAGCTGCTCCCCCAGTCAGTTCCTGTACAACTACCCCTTACTTACAACTACTCTCCAAAGGATATTGCAGGATGGCCATTTTTTCCTATTACTTAAAGATGTAGGAAAGCCTTTAGTTATACAGTAAGGATCACTACAGCTCTGACAAATGAGTGAAAAATAAAAATTGTGCAAGTTTCTTCTTTCCTAAATGGCAAGTATCAATTTTGGTTCTACCACATAAGGGACACAAAGGAGGAGTATGCAGGAAGTCAGTCAACTGCATAGCACAGATTTGGAATAAACTCCTTAGCTCTTCCCAGGACAAACTGAGGGGCACCTTTTCTGCTGGGCTGCACCTGACACACTGCCTGGAGCTGATACCTGTCTGCTCTGGTCCCACTGTGGCTGCCACTGCAGGGGTTGTAGCCTACCCAGGGCAATACCTGGTAACTGTGTTACTTGAGCCTCTCTACCACTATTTAAGCAGAAATCACTTAATTATTTCATACAAAGGTCAGAACAGTGTTCCCCTTTCCCACCTGCTGCATGCAACATCCTTACCTGCAGACTCTGTAAACAAGTCCTTTGATGAAGCTGATTCCTCCGATGGACTGGACCCTTCTGAGGACAGCAGCAGGGAAGCAGGAAGAACTCCCCCATAATGAGCAAGGGTTTGGGAAGCCACGTGGATGTTGCCTTTGAAGACTTTTAAAGCTTGCTCTGCTGACTCACGGCTGAAACCCATATACACCAGCTGCAGGAGGGGAAAAAGAGAAAAATAAAGAAAAACTGGAGAAATCCAAGCTCATCCAGCACCAGGGTCTGACAGGAATCTAACTGTGCATCTGACAGTTATTCATCTTGCACAGAGGACAGTGTTGCATGCC